AGATCTTTTGTCTATAAAACCAGTGATCCTTTCTTTAAAATCAGTACGCTCCGCTAGATATCATGCCTATAGGTCTCACTTAGGTAAACCATTAGGTTTTTAATTAACTGTGTCAGCTTTGATAACTACAACCAGACAAGGCTAATTCGGACTCCTCATCTGAGAAGTATGTGATAAATCAACCTGTCCTAACGCTTTTAAATTTAATTCAGACCATAACTAGTATTTGAAGTCATGCTATATATTTGCCTTTAAGTGAGGAGGCCTATTTGAGCCTTAACTGCTGCTTACTTCTCCCCTATTTGATTGTGTGTTTTTTGTTTGTCGCCTAGACTTTTATCCCTTTAAAACTTCTGAAAAGCCCCCAACTCCCTCCCCTTTAGGATTAGTAGTCTCAATGCCTCCGGGACTGATAGGATCGGAACGGGTAATAGCATGCAATAAGTAACGATACTATTCCGCTCTTTAATACCTTAATGGGGTGGGAAGGGTAGACATGGATATGATGATCACGCGATAACACCACGCATATAATTGGTTACCGGGTGTTGCGTGGATGATCCATGTTATTTATAAACCTAGGACCCCCCCTCCCTCCTTATGTACTTTCGTTATTGTTTTCTTTAAACTGTCAGTTTCCAGCTCTTTAAACCTTGTATTTCGCTTCAAATCATTTAAAACCTCTTTGAATTTCCAGCACTGTTTTCTTTTCAAACTTCCGCCCATTTCACTTCTATCGTCAGATTGTTTGCACTCGTTATTTGATCCTTATTTTTCTTCACTTATACATTCTTTTAAACAACTATGAAACCCCCTATTTCGTGACTTCAGCATGTTTAACCTTTATACATTCCTACTTGTAATCGTTTTGTGGAAGTTGTCTTGTATGTTTACTTGTTTTAAAATCACAATTGCAACATGGCCGGGAACCACACTAGTGGATCTTGGGGGGGTGCCTAACACCTTCCCCCTGAGATAATTTCAAGCCCTTACCCATTCTCTGGTTCTTCTTTCTTTTAAATTCTTAGTGTCCTAATGCACTTAATCATTAGGTGGCGACTCTTCTAAATCTCAAACCCAAATTTCCAAAAGGAATAGAGTTGTCCGCCCAAATGTCGTAAACCCGATTTTGCTTTTGGAAAAAGGGGGCATCGACAGCATGACGACTCTGCTGGGGATTTCTTTAGGCTTTTACCATTTCATGCTACCTGTGACTTTATTGCATCTTTATTGCCTTTATTTAATGTCTTTATCTCTTTTCTACTACAAAACTGACTTGGCTCTTTGTTTTCTTTTCTTTAATGCTCTCTTTTACTGCTTTCCTTCAATACTGTTGTAATTATGAGCAATTATTGTAATCATTACTTTATGAACGTGCAAATACGTGACAACTTGTTTCATTCTTGTAATTGCATATTCAACATCATATTCCACTCGTGCCAAACAAAATACCATAGCAACGCTTATAATGAGTGGTTGCGCTTTTCCGATATTATCACCCCTAAATCCGGCAAAGGCATATTTGCGGTAAAACCAGTTGATCAACGGTGCAGTCGACGGTTCCGCGCCTTTCCCTCTTGAGTTGTCCGCTCAAGGGTACCAGTCTAATACCACATAGAAACCTTACTCCGTTTAATTGTACATGCATCATGGTCAAACCTAGCCAAGTCAGTTATGTTGTCCGCATAATGACTCTTTAAGATAGCCTTGTCCAAAGTCCACTAGGTTTCCTTGAAACCCAAACGGACCTTACCACGTTCTGTGCATTCATTTGGAGAACTAAATGCTTCTTATGCTAATTATTGATGTTAAATAGTCGAGTCCGGTGGGGGAAAAGGGCCTAACCTTTTATTTTGCAGAAAATAAGGCATGAAGTCCCCAGATTCGGCATGGTCACCCACATTCACCCCAAATTGCTAAGCTGGTGGAAGGATCTTCATTCCAGCGATCACACTCTTGTTCAGAAGTACCAGGGAAACCTACCTTCTCTCCTAGAAATTCAACCTGACAACAAAATCATAGAAGCTGCCACTCTATTCTGGGATTGTGATAGGTCGGTATTCCGCTTCGGAGACATTGAGATGGCACATTTGCTTGAGGAAATAGGAGGACTGGCTGGAATACCGTGGGAAACGTCGGGTTTGCTAATAATGGATAATCGTAAGGGTAGGGGTTTTCTTAAGATGATGGGTCTAAAGAAGAATCCCGACTTGACATATTTGGAGAAGTCTTACATTCCCTTTGACCATTTGTATGAAAGGTACGGCCATAGCAAATCATACCGTACCTATCCGGACGAATTCGCCATCACCTCATTGGGGCACATCCACCGAAGGGTATTTGTGTTTATGTTCTGTTTCTTGGGGATGATAGTTTTTCCGACAAAGAAAGCAAGAATCCATAC